GCAGGAGTTTCCTGGCCAGTGGTACCTGGGAACAGTCTCTGGAGAGGCACAGCCAGGCTACTGGCTGGATCCTGGACACCAGTCCCTTCCCGCAACTGACCGTGCCATTGGTGGGTGGGGCCTGCTTGGCACGAGGGCCTGTGATCCTCCACAGGTAACTGCTATTACCTGCAGGGTGCAGCCAAATGAAGGTGGGAGCCCAGATGCCCTTTCCTCTGGGGTTCCGGGTCCCCCAAAGTCTCCCTGAGTTGGTCTCACCTGGCGGCGTCAGGGCTATACATCTGCACTCTTAACTCTACCCCACAATTTAGGACAATGAGGGGACAGGTATTTCCTTGCCCAAGAAACTCAAATATATTGGAAAATCAGGAAGCCTCTTTTTGGCCATTTTATAGTTTCCATTCCCCCTGCCCCAACCCTTATTTTATCTTGTGATCAGAAATATGGTATGACTGTGTTGTCACAGATGGAAAAACCAGCCATCCAACTTGCAGCCTTTTTTTTTTTTTTTTTAAATCAGGTAATAGCACAACAGCCATTCTGAGCTGAAGCATGGCTGAGGGGGCAGGGGTGGGCAGAACGTGTTACAGCCTCATGGATATAAAAGCAGAACAAGCCTGAGCTTGCCTGGGTTCGCCTGTGTGCTGCGGGTAAGGATGAGAGCTTGGTTTCCTGACCCTTAAGCCACAGGCAGGCGAGACTGCAGGGGGGCTGTCGCAGGGCAGGTGGCCACTCTGCAGCCCAGTGGACAGTGCCCGGGAGTGAAAGCAGAGTGACTGGCTGCACTGGGAGCTTGCTGGGAATGGCTTCACTGAGGAGGAGGTACCAGGCATGCCCTTAGCTTGCCCTTCCTGGAAAAGCTGAGGCTATGGGGACCCCAGTGCTTCTCTGAGGGGACCAACTTTATGATTAGTGCCACATGAAGGGATGTGATAACCAAGTTGTGAAAACACTTCTTGTCCATGGAGAGGAAATGCTCCTACTTTAGCCTCAAACCAGCCAAGTGTCCCTAGGGGAGAGCAGGGCCCCTGCCCCAATCATCCCAAGTGATCAGTCAGGTTCCTGGGTGGAAACCTGCAGGACGACCACCCACCTTCCGCCTTGTTGGCTGTGGTCTCATCTGTGGAGTCCCCTTGTTTGAGGAATTTGGCCACATCGTTAAAGATCAGGTAGAAGTCAATTGCAAACACAATGGTGGCAAAGAAGCCAAACACCTGTGGGATACAGGGGACAGGGTGGATGCGACGCATCATCAGGAGCTGGGAGTCCCTGGCCCAGGAGCCTGAGAAGAGGCCACCTTAGCCTCATCACCTGTTTTTATCTACTCAGATAAACAGCTTGGATTGGCAGGCACAGGCCTCTCCCACTAATGACAAATAGGAAAATGAACTGAGAACTTGGTCTGCAAATACCCTTTCAAAGCTTGGGGCAGAGCAGATCTCCAATAAGGGGATTTTGGAATCACTGAGATCCACATGAAAGCCCAAGAGGCCTAAGCAGGGACAGATCGTAGCCCAGAGGCTAAGTGGGTGTCCTGAGATGCATCGCTGGGCACCCCCATCCCAGGGGTAAGGCAGCTACTCACCCCAGCTGCTTTGGAAGCCCCGTCTGAGTATTTGGCGACAGCTGTGATGGAGATGGCAAAGTAGATGAGGGCAGCTGTGACACAGCGTAGGAAATCCTGGGGAGAGAGGGATATGGCCACACTGACTTGAACTCCCGGGAGTGGGGCACAGAAGGGCACGGGGTGGCAGAAACAAGGCTGGAATCCCACTATTCCCAGAGGAGGACGTGCCTGGCAGCCTGGACACAGGACTGGCCCCCGGGTCCAGCGTCCATGGTGTGCCCTTCTCCCTGCCCCACTCCTGCCCCTGCTCAGGTGCCTGCTGCAGGCTGCTAGCAGCTGAGACTGTCCTGTCCCTGGTCCGGCTGTACAGCTGCCCTCTGCCCAGTGGACGACATCAGGGTATGGACCAGGCTGCAGCTCACCCTGTGGCTTGGCCCAGATGCAGACTGCCCCATCATCAGGAGGGAGACTGCCCCATCATCAGGTTGGACCAGGCTGCAGCTCACCCTGTGGCTTGGCCCATCATCAGGAGGGAGACTGCCCCATCATCGGGAGGGAGAAGTTGGAAACCTTGTCACCTGCTCCCTTCTGGTTCTCCAATGGGGAGATCTGGCCCTGGGCCTCGCTTTGCCACATACTTTTGGCAGATCCCTTTATGTATTATGGTTTCTGCTCACTTGTCCCTAAAATGAGGACACAGAGGATATAGCCCATCAGGCAAAATGCTGGATATGAAGTCAAGAGACCAGGGTCAAATGCAACCTTTGCTGTCCCTTCTCTCCAACCCATTTCATACAGCAAAAAGTCTGAGGTGGGGTTCTGGGCCCTCCCAGATGATAAAACGACTTGCCAGAGGGCTGGGGTCTGGGTAAGCCCTCCAAGTCCTCAATTAACCTGTCCTGCCCAAGTGGAAATGGCTTGAATTCCTGCGGCTGAAGCTCATTCCGGCAGGCTCAGCTGGGAGCACCACTGCCACCTGGTGGGAAGGAGCAAGGATGCTGTCTGGAGTTCCCTGTTTCACAGAGGGACACAGGAGGCCCTGGAGGTGGGGCAACCTGATCTAGGTGACATAGCTGCTGAGAGGTGGGGTCCGGATCATCTGAAGACAAGTCTACCTGCCTGGCTCCAGCAAATGGCAAACAGCCCCTCCAGCACACTGAAGAAAGGGCGAAGGCTGAAATGCACAACTCCCTGTGACGGCCAGCCAACCCCTTCCTCCTGGGGCCCCAGCCCTCACCATCATGGGCCAGCACAAGCCCTGCCACTTGTCATTCAGCTGCATGGCATCAGCAAAGAGGAAGAAGAGGGCCAGCAGGAACTCCAGCAGGGGTGCTGTGAGGAAGGCGGATGCTGAAGATGCCACATAGCAGACAAAGGTGATAAATGAGAGAGCCTGGGGGATAGGGAGAAGAAGTCAGAGCCTTTGCACTTGCCCAGTACCCCTCTCGGCAGCCCTGCTGTCAGGAATAGAGGAGGATCCAGTATAAGAAGCAACCTGCCCTCATTTCCGCAGCTGCCAGGATTAGAACCCAGTCACGGGGCCTAGGCCCACACTCTTGCTGCTCCCAGTGCTTCTGGGCATGGCCCTGGGTCCTAACCCCATGCCAGCTCCCTGCCAGGACCCAGTCAGGAAGCCTCAGCCTCCCATGTGTGTCCAGCACGCCAGGAGGCCACCCTCTGTGGTTGCTCGTCTCCCCCGCACACCAGCAGGCTCTTAGCAGAACCCACCCAACTCAGATGGTGCCCCACAGGGGCTAATCAAACCCGAGCAGTCGCAAAGGCAGCCCACTAAGCAGGAACCAGATTTAAAAAATCACTCCCAACACAAGATTTTTGCTTTTCACTGAATGTAAATTTTTCCTGAAAAATAAATCTTAAATTTTAGTTAAGATATACATGCCGAAGTGTTTAGAGATGAAATGTACTGATGTCTGCAATATATTCTAAATACATCAAAAAATAAAATGGATTGACAGATGGAGTATGTCTGGTAAATATAGCAATGTGTTTACTATCTAGGTGGTGGAATATAGGCGTTAACAGTATAACTCTTTAGGCTTTTTAACATATTTGCAAATGTTCATAATAAGAAACATCCAAGAGAAAGGTGTTGACAGTGCCACCTCAGGGCCTGCTGATCTTTGGGCAAGCTGCACCGAGGAACTGTTAAGAATCAAAATGTTTTCTGCAGCCCTGTCAACACACCGTGGGTGGAAACTGATGCTGGTGGATGTTGAGGGCCCCAGTTAGTTCCGCAGACTGTGCAGTGCAGGTCAGGCCAAAGAGATGGGGCTGTTCACTGGGCCAGTGCCCACTGAGGCTTGTAGGATCTCCTGGGATCCTCACAACCACACACTCACATGCCAGGTGCTGCTCACAGCCCACTTTACAGATGAGAATACCAAAGTTAAGTGATTGCTCAGTGTTATACAGCTAATAAGCCAACAAGATTTGAACCCAGAGCTGGCTGACCCCATAGATATAGTTTTTAAGCAACCCTGCCCATGGGTGCTGGCTTTTATCTGCCCTGGTTTCTGTCACTGTGGTTGGGTTTGAATAAGTCCATGGCTGAGTAGTCTGGAGTGGGGCCCAGGGGGCCTGTAGGGACACCCAGATGCCCCAGAGGAAGCACTGTGGCTGCTTCAGACAAATGAGTTGCAGAGATCCGAGAGAGTTCCCAGGACACCCACATCTGCCCTGAACATGGCAGTGAGGGTAGCTGAGCCCAACTAGAAGAGATGAGAAACTTAGGCACAGAGGCAGCTGAGGGGCTGCCATGGGCCTTGACCTGGCCTGTCCATAGCTCTTGCTGTACTTCCTTGTGTCCCTCTGCTTTCTGAACTTCACCCCACAAAGCCTGATTCTGGAGATCTCTTGATTCCTGTTTCTGAATTCTCTGATTCCTAGTAGCTACATCCTCCCCCTTTCTGGCCATGCCAGCTCCCACACTATCTTAGGCCTGGGGGCAGACAGGAGGTGACCGGCGAGGCGGTGGGAGGCAAGAGTGACTTGGAGTGGTTCCCCTTGTATCTTCAGTGCCCACTGCTCATCTTCCTTCCTCCCCACTCCTCATCCTCCTAGATGGAGATTCCTGACACCCAGCTATGTCCCAGGCCTCCTCTCTACCTTGACCTATGAGGCAGGCCTGACTGGGACGGGGTTGGGAGTCTCCTCAGTGGACAGTGATTTCAAAGCTTTTCTCCAAAAGTAGCTCCCACCAATCTCTGGGGTGGCCAACCAGGAGGTGACACCCTGGAGTGAGGGCTGTGGGTCCTGGGTCCTGGTGCCTCACTTGGGAGTTGGGCAGGTGCTGGGCTGGTGACCTCTGGGCTGACCCTAAGCAAAGAAGAGGTGATAGGACCACCTCCTGTCACCTGCCTTGATTAGTACAAAGGAGAGTTTGGAGCAGAATCTTCCTTCCTCTGACCCCTGCCCTTCCTCTGACCCCCATCACAAAGGAGAGGTTAGGGTACAATCCTCCTTTCTCCTTTCTATCCTCCTGTGTTCGCTGTCACCTGGCCCTCACCTGATCCACCTGTCAAATCCCCTTGATGCTGGGGCCTCGGCTTTCCTGTCAGCAAAGTGGGAATAAACAGACGGGCTGTCAAGTTGCTGGGGATCTAAGCAATAAATTCCCCTTCCCCCCGCATCCCTTCCACGTTTTGCCTGGCCTCTTCGTCCCCTTCCCTCAATGGAGGCCCAGCACCAACACCCACCCCACCCACACGTGGACAATGAAGGAGTTTTCGGAGTGTCCCGAGGACAAAGGACTAGACTGGCAGAGGTAGGGGGTGGGAAGGAGGAAGAAGCTCAGTGGGGGCGGGGCGGCAGGATCCCGCCGAGGGAGGGGAGGTGGATGAGGTCACGCCGCTGGTCTCCCGACCCCGCCCCTCTGCCTGCGCGCCCCCCACAGGGCTACTCGGGCCTCACCCAATCCCCGGGGTCCCCTTCCCACTCTCTCTTGTCCCTCTCCCAGCTGGCTGGACTCCACTCTAGCCTCCGCCCAGCAGCTCGAGGCCCGGCCGACCCTTCCTGCGCCCAGGAAAGCGGGCAAGGGCGCCCCGACCCAGGAGTCGTGCGTGAAGGGCCGAGCGGGCTGAATCCTTCCGGGGACCAGAGAGGGGTGGAGGCGCCCGAAGTCACACAGCGCCTGGCTGAGCTTTCAGCGGCCCGGGCGCCGCGTCGCAGGACCCCTCCCCAGACTCCCCAACGGCCGGTTTGCCCTGGCGGGTTCAAGACCCAGGAAGGCCCGGGTTCGGGCCCCGCCTCGCCCCTGACTTGGCGCGCTGAACTTTAGCGAGTCTGTCCGAAATGTGGGCAAGCGTGCTCCATTTAGCGGGGCTCCGAGAGGGGTCGGCCGGACCCATTCGGACAGC